CTTGCTGAGATGGTGCCTGCTGATGACGGTCCCCACCTGCGTGCAGGACGCGCTCATGCTCACGAGTACCTACTCGTGACTGCTGCCTGCTCATGTGTGGAGTCAAGATGCAGCATCCCGGCTGCACGCTGCCGCGTGCCCCGTGCTCTTCTGACGGCCCTCGGTACGCTGCAAGCCGGCCTTTCTTCCCGCGACTTGGCAAGCCATGCATGCGGTCTCTTGGCTCGAGCCGCTCGACGTTTCCATTCGGCTTTCTCCTGCGCATTCTCATTGACATCCTCAACCTCTCTCGACGTCCAGGCCTGCCAGACAGGCATCGCTCAGTCGCCCCTCGAGACACGCACCCCTTTGGCTGAAATTGCACATCCGGTCTTGCCATCCACCCGCACGCGGCATAACAGGGAAGATGCCGGACCTTGTCGCCTCGATCGACGCCGGTGAGTAGTGTGAAGCCATGAAGTGCACAGGTCCAGATGGGGAAAAGCTTTCCAAAGGGCATACGTGATCCTGACAGGGGCTCATGCTCATCGATCTGCGTTTGTCTGCGCAGGGACCACCTCGGTCCGCTTCATGATTTTCAACGAATTCGCGGAAGTACAAGCTTCTCACGGCTTGGAGTTCACGCAGTATTTTGATCACCCAGGATGGCAAGATCAAGATGCGCACGAGATCGTGGACAAGGTGCTGGAGTGCGTAGATCAGGCCATCAAGAAGCTCGAGCAGAAGGGCGGCAAGGCAAGCGACATCAAGGTTGTCGGCATCACCAACCAGAGAGAGACTACTGTTGTGTGGAGCAAGACTACTGGGAAAGCATTGACCCGAGCAATCGCATGGCCTGACACCAGGACGACCCACACTGTCAGGCAACTTGCGGAAAAGAGCGACAAAGGCACAGATGCAGTAAAGCTCGAGACTGGTCTCCCGCTGTGTGAGTGTATGCAGTCTTCTTGATGATCAAACGACTCAGGGGCAGACAAGTAGGGCTTCCAAGACTAAGAAGGGGATTTGCATCGCAAGAGCTCTCAAGGATCTCTGTGGCTCAGATCAGGAAGAGGAACATGGCTTTGCAGAATGCGCCCGCTTGATCACTGGGTGCTCACGTTGTACTGATACCGTCTTGCGCGTTCTGCAGCTACCTACTTCGCAGCTCTCAAGCTCAGATGGATGCTCGACAACATTCCAGAGGTCAAGAAGGCGCATGATGAAGGAGACATGCTCTTTGGCACAGTGGACTGCTGGCTGCTGTATGTGAGTCGATTTCAAGCAGATAGTGGGCGGTTCTTGCAATATGCTGATGCACTGCGTGGTCGCCCCTCCTTTCATCAGAATCTGACTGGTGGAGAGGTGCATCTTACAGATGCTTCGAACGCCTCTCGCACAATGTTCATGGATCTGCGGAAACAAACTTGGGACCCTAAGCTCTGTGACTTCTTTGGCATCAAGATGGAGATTTTGCCAGAGATCAAAAGCTCTTCTGAAGTTTACGGAAAGGTGAAAGGTGGAGCTCTGGATGGTGTGGAGATTGCTGGTATTGTAGGAGATCAGGTGAGCGTCGCAGCGTGACCTCTTCCGCGGATCGCCGTCAGCCTGACTCTGACCTTCCCAATCACTCTGGAAGATGGCTGCTCTGATCGGGCAAAAGGCTTTATCGCCAGGAGAAGCGAAGAATACGTATGGTGAGCAGAGCACGCCAGGGCCATAGTCTGCATGTCGATTAATTCTATTTTGCTTGCGCACGCAAGGTACCGGGGCCTTCCTCCTATACAACACTGGCACCAAAGTAGTCGACTCGAAGAACGGGCTGCTCTCGACCATTGCATACAAAGCTGGACCCAATGCAGAGCCTGTATACGCTCTGGAAGGATCAATCGCGGTGTGCGGCAGCGGCATCAAGTGGTTGCGCGATCAATTGGGCTTGATCAAGGAAGCGTCAGAAGTGGGCGACCTGGCTTCACAGGTTGAGGACTCGGGAGGTGTCTACTTCGTGACAGCCTTTTCGGGCTTGCTGTGCCCTTACTGGGACGACTGCGCTAGCGGAATGATCATTGTGAGTCGCTTCTGCTCACTCACCACAGCGAAGGAGTGGTCTACTGACTCGTGACATCGACGCACTTTTCGCAAGGGTATGACGGGATACACCGACAAGCGTCACTTTGCCAGGGCCACGATTGAGGCGGCATGCTACCAGACGCAAGCTGTGCTTGCAGCTTGCGAACGGGACTCGGGTGTTCCTCTCGCCAGTCTGCAGGTCGACGGAGGCATGACAAAGTGAGTAGTGCATTAGCGCCACGATTGCTACATCTTTATCCTGACACCTGCTTCGACACAGCTCCGACGTTGCTATGCAGATTCAGGCAGACATTCTGGGCCTGACTGTCGAGCGACCAGAGATGAGAGAGTAAGTTCCTATGCGAATATCTCAGTCCGGCCCGCGTGCGATCCCGCTCAATAGTCGTTCCCTGATGATCTAGGACAACGGCGCTAGGCTCGGCGCTTCTGGCTGGAGCAGCCAAAGGCTTGTTTGGTTGGGATATCAGCAAACCGGAGACCTTGTCCAAGGTAAGCTGTCTGCGCTCTCGCGTTAGCACTGGCCAGCTCGGCTTGGGGCTAACTCGTCCTATGACCACTTCTTTCTTCGCTGCTCAGGTCAATGCGAAGGGAAAGCAGGCGTTCAAGCCCACGATTTCAGAGGAGAAAAGAAAGGAACTGCTGCACGGCTGGGAGAGAGCAGTGGAGCGAAGTCGAGGATGGCTCGAGAACCCTTGAGGGCTACACCAGATCGCCGAAATTGACTGGTGGCTAGAATACATTGCTCATTGTAAAGACGTAACAGGCAAAAGTCTCGCTGACTGCATCACAACAAAGCCATCTTGACTCTGCTTCGCTGTGTATTCTTGTCCTGGGGCGGGTAGAGCGCATCAGGAGCTCAGACATCAGCTTACTGCACATAGAGATTTGTGCCAGCTTCGAGCGAGACGCACCTTTTCAGTTCCAATTTCCACGCGTACCCGGTCAAAGATACCTAGGATGAGATCTGCGAGGCGTGTAAGGAAGATGTGAGAATGGAGCGCAAGCAGATTGGAGAGAGAAGGACTCACCCTGCTTGAGCCCCGAAACGGTGGCGGGTACGCGAACGGTGTACTGCTCTCCATCGAAGTCACAATCCTTGTCGAACGTGATGAGACCTTCGAGGCCGTACCTGATGACAGCAAACAACATTCTGGTCAGCCTGACGCTTCTAGGTCGATGCCGAAGTCCACGCTACGCACGCGCTGACGAAGACAGCAATGCCATTCCGGAAGGTGCGGATGACGAACGCATCCTCGTGGAGCTTGATTTCGCCCGTTCCGAAGCTCTTGGCAGATCCTCCAGCTTCCTGATTTTTGCGAGCGATGCTCAAACCCACCCAGTACTCGACGCTAGCTCGACCTGCTTGTTGAGCTCCGCGGTGTCTCTTGTTGACGTTGTTCAGCACTTTCTCCACATGACCCTTGTTCTGCAAGTTGGCAGGCAGCGGCTCGTACGCGATAGCAGCAGCCAACTGTCGATGTGTCAAGACATCCGCGTATCGCCTGATGGGAGAGGTGAAGTGCGTGTAGATCTGGGAAGCCAGACCGTAGTGTCCAAA